GATTACATTTATTCAAATCCTACAATATGTTACTACTCCAAAACATTATTCAAGCACGATGTCGGGGAGAGGCAGTAAGGGTTCCCGTCCAGGATGTTATTGATACTATGTGCGAATGAACATTTGATACATAAGTATCCAGTGCGAGAGGTAAGTTAAGACAAAGGAAACAACCCAAGAGAGATTATGCAGAACATAGATATGAAAATGGATCAACGAGTATTTAGTAGTTGATTCAGGAAGAGCCTAGTTATGGCTATACAAGAGGATATAGATAAATCGGCAGATCGTGCAAGATAGTGAACCCCAGCATAGGGAGTTCAGTCTCACAGATACGACACTGTAATCATTGAGAAATATTCAGATAGGAGTTGAGGTAGTTATAGTTGCCGTAAAAAGTGTTAGGGAAATAAAAGAGAGTGCCACTGGGGAGACAAAAAAATTTGAGGTCAAAAGTAACCCTGCGTAAACAAGGGCACGAAGGTATATAACTGACGATATTTATAAGTGAGTAAGAACATCAAAAATTTCGTCATGTATATGACGGGATAAGCTCACAGCTTTACAAGAGTCAGAGAGTCTTCCATAAATGCTACAATAAAGGCTAGCCAAGGAAATAAGGAAGAATGCTTCAAACAAAGCATAGTGACCTAAATAAATAATGGTCTTGTAACAATAGTCTCACTACGGCATTGTATGCTCTCCATAACAAAGTGGCACATGTCCTAACTGAGGAACGGGAAGTAAAATCCAAAGTAATATTCAAGATCATATGAGTTTCACAAATTCCATATATGTGGGCACTAAGATAAGCCACGTATTCATGCAACAAGTAGCAGAACAACCAAGAAAGGTAATTGCTTACTTTTAATGAAAGCTGAGAAGGCACGAAAGAATTATTCGATCTATTACCCAGAGTTATTTACGTTATGAACACACTTACACTACTAGAAATTGAAGCTATGGCAACCCTTCAAAAACCATTTCTATAGATCTGCTAATCGTCCTTATAGGGCTATTGGAACGGATGTTGACTCGTTCCGGGATTCAGCGTTACAATAGGTCTATTGGAACGGTTATTTGCAATGGTTCATAAACCGTCTCCATAGATAGGGATATTGTAACGGTTTTGGATTGCTACCATGCTCTATCTACAGGAACGGTTTATTTTCTATTGGGACGGTAATAAACCGTCTTGATAAACTAATACAGCTAATTTTTTTAAGGTTGTTGCAACGGTTTTCATGATATATTGCAACGATTTTCATGGTATATTGGAACAATTATCAGTACTCTATTGCAAGGATATTATAACATATTGGAACAGTTATTAGGGGCTGCTATTGTTATTTGCTAGGTCTATTGGAACGGTTATATTCTCTGTTGCAACAAATTATAATTTCTGATATTTATGGAAGCAAAATTAGAAATATTTTCCTATTCTATGAAATTGTTTACACCATATCCAACTAGCATTATCCATGTACAAAAACAAAATATGGATACAATGTTTGGTCAAACAATTCAAAAGTCAAAATAGATGAGTTTGCATACAAAAAGTTCTAAACTAAAATATCCTTAAACATAAAAATAAAGCCTAACAACACTCAAGTAAGGTCTACGTCACTGCTTTCATCCGCAATCACTGCACCTACAAAAGTTAAATGAGAAATAATTAAATAACATTTTTAGGATAATTGAATCACAAAGTAATTGAATGACCAATTTGATAATAACTCGAAAATTTTCATTCTCTTTAAATTCTTAAATTTTTCGGCAGAGTTTCCTTTGTAAATATGACTATCCCAAAATTTCAACCTGCTCAAAACATCATTTGCAAATACAACTATGCAGAACCAACAAAGAAGAGAAAAGAAACAGAATGGGAAAAGATATCCCACCAAATAACTGAAAGTATTAGTGGTGGGATTTGTGCTAGTTTCATACCCCACCAAATAACTTGACAAGTATATGAAAAGCATGTCAAGCATGCATATAAACAAAATTTCTTTCAATGTAACTCTAAGAAGATTTTCTTTTCCAAAGTTTGGTAGATTTAGTATTTCAAGATTCAGGTAATCAGCATAATCTAAGATTTACAAAGAAATTAAAGAGTTGAATAAATTAACCAGCCAATGACAATGCAACTTGCAGTTTCTTTAAAGGGCATCAAGGAATCACACATTGTCTGCCAATTACATCAAACACCTCTCAGTGAAGTGACAGCACTAGCGATCAATTTAATAGATAGATATATATAATTTCATCAATAAAAACATTTTAAAAGGATATCAAAGTAATATAAAGATATAGTACTATAATTCACCACTAAACACTTTTAAAAATGATTAGTTCAATTTGCATAAGCTCAGTCTATGACTTATGTGAACCCTCACCGGAAGGAGTATTAGTTAACAGAATACTTCGTCTATAAAACCAACATTCCAATCTCAGGCAGTAAAGTTGCAAAAGCTGGAAAGCTAAAAAGAAAAACAAGAAAAAGGAGATCCACGAGAAAATGCTCAATCTCCCATATCAATTGGCGAGAGTTACGTTTTACCCCTTAGTACACCCATCCAGCAAGAATCTATATTAGGTCTTTGAACACTGAATGAGTAAAGCAAAAGAAAATACTCGTAAATAAGTTTATCAACTTGGAGATCAACCCTATGATTATGGAAAATGATCAGCAGGGATCTGATGCACTTAACACGACGCGATATTAGAAGTAAGTAATCACGATTGCTAAATATCATGATTAAATTAAACCATAATATATATCCCAGCTATAGTTCTTGGCATCAACAAGTATAATTCTAAACCGAATAAGCTAAAAAATAAGCAATATTAATACCTCGAGTGAGTTGGCCTTCTTTGTTGCTATCAGTAGATGGACGACGAATTGGTTGCAAAGTTGCTCGTTATACAGAAGAAGCTTCTCCAGGAGAATTATCACCCAATGCCGCTAGAATAATATTAGCATCAATATCAATTCCTGAACGCTGAAGTCGTGGAAGGACATCTGCAACAACTTCTTGACGGATAGTTGCCTTTTGTTCCTCAATTTTCTCCTCCATCCTTTGTATCTTCTCCTACATTTTTTGTAGAGAATTTGTAGTATTTGAAGAAGATTCAAAACATCCTACCTTCCCTCTCAAAGAAGTTCTTGTAACCCCTCGTCCATACAATCTCAGACGTCCTGGATGTTCAGGCCCCATGACAGATGCAAATGCATCAACGGACTCATTGCCATTTTCATTTTGTTGGGCTTCAATTGCCACCATTTCAGCCTTCAAAGCAAATTCAAACAAATAGAACAAGTAAATAAAAAGTATACTAATAAAAACAAATAATTGATCTCGATATAACATCAGTTAAATATAATTGGCACAATTTTACTAGTTGTATCATCATCCGAGCACTTGTATGATCGCCCAGCTTTCCTTTTTCTTGTAGCTACAAAGACTTCTTTTGTCGATAAAGGATCCGAAGTTTCCTTCTCGTTTTCCTAGTTACATAGTTACATGAAAGTGTGTTAGAATTCGTGGTGATCTACCATGTACTAAACAAGAGCAGAAATTGAGAAATTTTTTGCCATTATTTGCTAGTTACACACCAACTTAGAGCGCACTAAAGTAAAACTTCTTTTTCATGCAGTGTGAGGATTCTTCAACTTTTTCCGGTTCTCAATATTAATTTGGGACATTTCCTGCAAGAAGAAAGAAACATCAAACAACAACTTACAATTCTGAATCAAAATTGGGACATTAATGCAAAAGAATGTGATTGACTGATTCTACTTTTTCCTTTACAAAAATCACACGTTGACTGATTCTGCTTTTCCCTTCACAAAATCACATGTTCTGCACAAGTTGTAACTTCTTTTCTGCAAATTATCCTAGGTTAAGCATGTGTTATTTACAGCAGTCCATCAAGCCAAGCCACCTTTGGTGGTGTTTTTGTTTTCCACATTGTCCTCTAAGCCTATTTGCACCTGTTTCCAACCTGTCCTCTTAGCGGTAAGTTATACAGTCATCTTAGTTCTTAGTAAAAACTAACTTGGCTTTGCAGGCATTATTTGTTTTTTTGGGGCAGTTGTAATTTATGGCTATGAACCATCTAAAAGCTGGTGCAATTGTTCCTACTCCTATTGCCACAGTCTGAGTTACAAGAATCAAGGTTGTGGACCACTTGTATTCAGAGTCTCCATTACAAAAGTTGAAGCTCCAATGAAGAAAGTAAGAAGCAAAACAAGTGGAATAAGCCATGGTCCAGAATTTCATCAGCTCGTCCTTCAGTAGCAGAAGCAAAACAAGCATAAGAAACATGAGGGCGATATGCTCTTTGCAGAAAACATAGATTACACCAGTAGCTAATTGTATACCAATGTTCACAGATTATATAGATTACATATTTTCAGTTTCAGTGCTCTATATTTTCATAGATTACATAAATCTGTGTGGATACATAGCTAGGCCTAAAACTGATATGGAATTGCTTAAGACCATAACTTTTCAGCATATCTGCTTTTACGATATGTCGACAACCATACGACAACACAACAATTACAGACCAGTGTTTCGGCGCTTTTTGGGCAGAATTTTTCTGGAAAAAATCGCCAGCATTTTGGCGCTTTTTGGGCAGAATCGCCAGCATTTCAGCGCTTTTTGGACATTTAGAAAAAAAAAAGAAGAAGAAGAAGAAGAAGAAGTAGTAGTAGTAGTAGTAAGAAGTACATATACCTGGAGTTTCTCTGAGTTCCAATACCTAAGGAGTTCCTTAAACTGAGAAGCTGGAACATCTTCAGGGATATTTTACAATCGAGCTTCATCATTGTGATAGGAGTCAAAGTGATCCTTTTTCAATCTATTCTTGTGCTTTCTCCAGGCAGCTTGCACTGATTCCAAAGTATTTTTTTTTCCAGCTTCAGGAATATCATACTTAGTCTACAATTGATGTCAAATCTGTTAGTGCAGAAGATATGAGATTTTCAACCAAAAAACTAAAAATTAAGAAGTTCAGACCTTGGTATATTCCCATATATCCTCTTTTGTGTCCATCTTCCTCCAATCCAAAATATCAAGAGGACATAGAGTCGCATTCCTTGCAATGTGCCGAGGAAGCTTCCAAACTCCGTCATAACTTTTTCGCTAGGACCAACGGGTTGATTTAAGTGGTTAAGTAAAATCACTTTACGCTCCTGGCGTCCATGTACATTTTTCATCTTTGTTCTACCTCTTTTTCTTGGTTGAATAGAATGGCCTACAATTATATGAACAAAAAAAACACCAAATCAGTATTGTTGATACAATATATATGACTGCAATAGGATGTAAATATTTTCAGATAAAACCGTTGAATTCTTACCTTGTTCTTCAGATTGTTCATCTACAGTAGGAGTTGTAGAATCCAACTGAACTTATTCCTCCACTTGTTCATCTATTACTTGTGTGGCAGGAGTGGTTGATCTAGTTTGTACATGAGCTGCCACTCCTGAATATTGTGGCAGTAGCAGATTCTCTTCAATAATATTCGGATGCTCTTTGTTTGATTGTTTAGCAGGAACAACATATTTTGCAGCAGTGGTTGATCTAGTTTGTACATAGGCTACTACTCCTGGATATTGTGGCAGATTCTCTTCAATAATATTCGAAAGATCTTTCTTTGATTGTCTAGCGGGAACACCATATTTTTGGCTAAACGAACTCCTTATTTGATTTGCCAAAAATGCCATTGTTCCAGGTTTTGCGTATGTCGCACTTGTCTTTCTTTTGGGCTTTGAAGGTCTTTCTTGACTCATGTCTGTCAGAATCTGATGAAGAATACAAAAACAAATTATCTCTAATAGGTATTATATAAAAGACAACAGTAGGATTTAAAGACAAATTCTAGGAGTTGATCTTAGAAAGTTGAAATCTGCCCGATTTACTTATTATATTAAATTGTGTGACTGATGCTAAGGTCAAACTATCCACTTGATTTACAAAATAACAGCATAGAGACTTATAATCTACTTTACCTGAACTGATAGCAGTAGACAACCACAACTCTAAGACAACCACAACTTTAAGATAGGAAACAAACTAAACTTGAACTGAAACATATTAAAATAGCTCCATATATCAGACTAAAGTTTCAATTACTTAGCATATTACAAAAGCTTGAAATATAAACAAACTAAAAAGTCTAAGCTAGAGCATATACAAGAACAAAAAATTGTTCGAAAGAAGACAATAAAGTTCAAAATTACAAATAAAAATCAGATGTTCCTTCTTCAATCATCAGCCTCCATCCAATCCCAATCCGTCTTTCTTTTGGGCTTTGAAGGTCTTTCTTGAGTCATCTTGAGAATGTTGTGCATCAACTGGCATATCAATAACATCAAGAGGTACATCTTCTCTCGACCATCTAATATCAATATCGGCTAATCTAGTTGATGGACCGACATCATCATTAGGCTCCCTCCAAAATGTCTCCCCAACATTAGGAATATTTTCTTCCTCCAAATCATACAAATCAACAGAGACTTTATTCCTTGCATAGTAAACATCTTTCTCAATTGGATCCTCCACATAAAAACTTGGTGGACTTGAGATGCCAATACAAAAGAGTCATCAGTACTACATAATCGGTTAAAGTATACCCGAGTTAACCCATATTCATGAACTTCATTACGAAACCAATCACATCTAAATAATACAACACTAAAGCGACCCCAATAATCAATCTCAATGATATCCTGAATAGCTCCATAATACCGAACCTCTCCATCAATGGTATTTTGGTCCTTAGCACTAGCAAAACTATCTGTTGTTGCTGACAAAGTCACTCCACTATCTTGTATCTTCAACGGGGCATCCCGTATCATTGTATGAAATAAGTAGCCATTGATAAAATATCCAGTATATCATTTGGCCAATGTATTAGGCCCTTTAGCTAGCCATTGCAAATGATTGGGCACGTCAATGCCTTTTTACTTTCTCTTTAAACCAGTCGGCGAAGTTTCGACTATGATTTCTTGCTCTTACCCATGCATTTGATCTAGTTTGATTATCAATTAAATTCTTATGTTCCCTGAAAGACATATGTTTCAAATTTAATCATTAGGCCTTTATAAATTAAATTTAAAAATCTTAAAATATAAAATAAATAAAGCTTATAATACAAGTGATGGTAATATATTTTATCTTACATGATAAATGCCTTCACTTGTTCATCTTCAGTATTGAAGAGAGCATATCTATGTGCCTCAGAACATAACTGCAAATCCATAGCAAAAATCTTTCCTTTTCTCTTTTTCTTACTTCCAATTGGATGGCCTATTTTAGGAAAAATAGGTGACAAATTGCCTCCTCCAATGTCCCCATCATCCTCAGTTTGGTACCTACTGAATCTTGACTTCACCCCATCATGTAGGTATCTCGAGCAAAAGATCAAGCACTCTTCGGCCAGAAACCCCTCTGCAATCGACGCTTCTGGATGAGCTCGATTACGAACAAACGCCTTATATTTGCACAAATTTCTTTTAGTGGAATATATCCAGCGACAATGAGTCGGACCCTCGAGCTTAATTTCATTTACTAAATGAACAGGCAAATGAGGCATTATATCAAAATAGGTTGAAGTGAAAATCATTTCAAGTTCACATGTAATATCATTGATTTCAGTCTGCAATCTATCAAGATCCTCTCGCCTTATAACCTTGGCACATATGGCTTTAAAGAAGTTACCCAACTTAATCAATGTCAAAGAAACATTCTTGGGTAATGATTTTCTAACAGCAACTTGGAGCAAGTAATGCATTATAAAATGTGCATCATGACTCTTGTACCTGGATATTTTCATCTCTTTCTCATGCACACAACTTGATATATTCGAGGCACACCCTTTTGGCAATTTGGCATTTTTAAAGACGGTGCAAAATCGCCTCTTCTCTTCTGGATTCATGTAGAAACAAGCTTTAGCCAAAGATATTGTTCCACTTACAACATCTTGTATTGGTTGAAGCTCTTTTCGTATTCCCATTTCTTGCAAAATCGTAACGAGAATTTACATGATCTTTTGACTTTCCATCTATCTCCAATAATGTCCCAAGAATACTATCACATATATTCTTCTCAATATGCATTGGATCAAGTTTGTGACTCAATTTGTTAGTTTTCCAATATGGTAATTCAAAGAAGATGGATCTTTTCTTCCATGGACCCTTGTTATCCCGAGACCTTTTCTTTTGGCCCTTTCCAAAGACATTCTTGAATTCACGCAACTCTTCGAGCACTTCTGTACCCGACAAAGGAGTGGGTGCAAGTCTATGATCCTCCCTAACCATCAAATGATTTCTTATCTCTTTAAAATGGATGTTCAGGAGGCAAAAATGCCCGATGACCCATGTAGCACATCTTACGACTATGCTTGAGATATTGAGAGCATGTGCCATGATTACAGGTGGGGCATGCAAATTTTCCCTTTGTGCTCCAACCAGAAAGCATTGCTAGTGCAGGAAAATCACTAATTGTCCACATTAAGGCTGCACGCATTTGGAACATCTGGTTAGATTCGGCATCAAATGTTTCTACACCGAATTCCCATAGCTCTTTTAATTCAGCAATTAGTGGTTGTAGATACACATCTATATCATTTCCCGGAGATGAAGGACCTGGGATGATCATTGACAACATTATATACTCTGGCTTCATGCAAATCCAAGGCGATAGATTATAGTTCATTAACATAACAGGCCACGTGCTATGGGAAATACTCATTGTTCGAAACGGGTTGAAACCATCACTTGAAAGACCCAATCTAATATTACGAGGGTCGCTAGAGAATTCAGGGTGCAAGGAGTCAAACTCCTTCCCAGCATCACCGTCAGCAGGATGTCTTATATTTCCATCATTCGGTCGTTCAGTGGCATGCCATCTCATAGCTGCAGCTGTTTCGGGACACATGAATATCCTCTGAAGGCGAGGCTTTAATGGAAAGTACCTTAAAACCTTTGCGGGGGTTTTGGTCTTTCTATTAGTCAATACATTAACAACATTCTTCTATCTAGAAGACCCACACACAGAACAAGTATCTGCATTTATATTGTCATTCCAAAATAACATGCAATCATTAGGACATGCATGTATTTTTTCATAATGAAGGCCCAAATCTTTCATGCTTGTTGCCTTGTAGAAAGACTCGGGTAGCAGAGCAAATGGAAATGCCTCTTTTAACAACTCCAACAAGTCTGTGAATGCCACATTACTCAACCCGTGAATGCACTTAACAAAGTAAAACCGGATCGTAAAACCCAATTTGGAAAAATTCTCACACCCTGGATATAATTCTTCTTTTCCTTCTTCTACTAATTTAAAGAATCTTTTTGCATCTTCAGAAGGTCCATCCCCCACTCTTTCATGTCCCAAATCATCCTCGACATTTCGAAATGTATCATGAAGTAATCCATCAATATCATCATGCATCTCAGAACCTTCATCATTATTGCTTGGGCATGGAGTCTTTCTCGAGGAAAATCCTTCCCCGTGGAAAACCAATTTGGTGTATCCATGAACAAAGCTATTAACAATCAAGTGATCCTCCACCACATTCCTATAATGCCAAAAACAATTAGCGCACTCTTTTCAAGGGCATAATATTTCATTTCCTTGGGAAGCTCGTTCAAACGCCTTATCAAGAAAATTATTCACTCCATGTATGTACTCATCAGTTGACCTACGGAGGCTCATCCACCTTTTATCTCCGTTATCCATTAAATTAGTGTTATCCTATATAACACCAAAACAACCGGTATAAATTTGGTTTATGTACTTATAATCGAAAAAATCAGCTAATAAGAAAGGATAGAAAAAAGCCACATATTCTCAAAATTATATGAGTTTCATTGTTGTGAAATTTAACAGTCACCAAAATCGTCACATAAACAGCTACGTAAGGCAAATTTCATCAATAACAAACATTTTAACAAATAGTAGCTATTAGATTTAGCAAGAACAATGAATTCTTTTAAGTTAATGACGTGCTACAATCTTATCAGTGTGTACCATAAGAAGTAATGCAAATACTTGGAAATTAAGATTAGCAGAAGAATGTTAGAAGATCAGCATTATATGATTCTGATAACCAGGAAAAGAAAAGGAACCAATGATCAGTTTCACTTATAACTAGCAACATGTATTCCGAAGTTTAACCTTCTTATGATATTTAGAGGAAGGGCAGTATACCATTCTGTTAAAATTGGGCAGCATAAAAAACATAAAAGAAGAACTAGGCAGCATTTCAGAAAAGAGGAGAAGACTTAGAAAGAAGAACCGAATGTAAAAAAAAATCGCCAGCATTTCGCTACTATTTGGACGCTGAAACAGTGAAGAAGAAGAAGAAGAAGAAGAAGAAGAAGAAGAAGAAGAAGAAGAAGAAGAAGAAGAAGAAGAAGAAGAAGAAGAAGAAGAAGAAGAAGAAACAGTGAAGAAGCAGGAAGACATCATCACATACCTGTTGCCGCTGAATCTCTGTTGAAGTTGAAAAGGGAACCCTAGTCGTGNAAAGAATAGAAAAAAGCCACATATTCTCAAATTATATGAGTTTCATTGTTGTGATTAGCAGAAGAATGTTAGAAGATCAGCATTATATGATTCTGATATCCAAGAAAAGAAAAGGCAGCAATGATCGACTTTAACTTATAACTAGCAACATGTATTCCAAAGTGTAACCTTCTTATGATATTCAGAGGAAGGGAAGTATACCATTCTGTTAAAACTGGGCAGCATGAAAATAATCAAAGTAGAACTAGGCAGCATTTCAACGAAGAGGAGAAGACTTAGAAAGAAGAACCAAAGGTAAAAAAAATTCGCCAGCATTTCGCTGCTATTTGGACGCTGAAACAGTGAGAAGAAGAAGAAGAAGAAGAAGAAGAAATCATCACATACCTGTTGCCGCTGAATCTCTGTTGAAGTGGGAAAGGGAACCCTAGTCGTTGTTGTTGTTGGTCGTGTTTTAATAAAAGTACATTGATCCCTTCTTTTTTAATTAAATATGCTAGCAGCTTCACTCGCTTCGCTGCTACACCAGCAAATTCAGCGACCTCTATATTCTTTCTCTGTGTAGCTAATTTGCGAGCAGCACCCTGAGAAAAAATAAGAACGCAAAGGTTTGATGATGTCCAAGAGAGGAGGAAAGACATGAGGAAGGGGCAACCAAAGAGAAGTAATGACATCACCATTTCATTTTCCAAATGCATATCACAATTTTCAAACAATTACTGCACATTATCATCTTCATAAATAAGATGAGGCATCTAAAACTACCTCAGATACTACTTAGCGAACCTGAAACTGCAAAATGAATCAACTTTCTAGTAAACGTCCTTTCAGTTGAGCACTTGAAATGCTAGATTTATTATTCTTTCTGTTTTTAGTTATACTAGTCTCTCGGCACGTGTAACATAAGGTATGTAGTACAACGATTTGGTAAAAGAGTGGAGATCTCACGTTGTCATTAGTGGTCCCTTTCCAATCTATAATATTCAAATGATTGAGTCAAACCAGAATCCTAAGGCGCTTAGTTTGGTTCTCAATTGTAATTAGTGGTCCCTTTCCAATCTACTTTTCCTCACACAGAAGATTTAAGAGTCCTGTTCAAACATTTGACTCCACGAGAACACCCAAAACTTCCACCAGAAAAAATAGGTTATTGACCAGCCATTAGAAGCAGAAAGTACAAAATTGAAGTAGAAGGAAGAAACTGAACAGAGTACTAGACCCACGGTTGAGTACGCGTCCTTGGCACAAGGCAATTATTGAGCTGAGTGTTACAAAACGGAGGATCAAAACCACATATATCCCACAACAAAATCTTTCATAAGCATCTAAGTGGCAGATGTAAGTGTATTACTTGTACAAATGAGCACATATGAGAAAAAGAATACCACATGTATAGAAGTAACATTATTAGCCAAAATAGTCATGCAGGTTATTAGACACAGAAATAACTGGCTACTCAACAAACTGCACAGATATCAATTTAAGGTAGAAGTAGAAGGAGAGGAGAATAACATAAGTTGGACAATACAGCTAGTCATCAGAAGCATATTCCACTCTTTCTTTCTATTTATGCAGACAAGGAGAACACATGTACTGAAGATATAATTCCAAAATATTACCTGTTACGGAACAACAATCGGATTAACTACAAAGAAATGAATGGAAATCTTTTGTGTGTTTGGTTTAATTTGTAATTCCAAAAGGCCAGAAACCCATGAGACATAGCCTCGTTCACTCTGTATTCATAGCTAAGGTATATTACCATATAACTGCTAAATTCTACCATGCATATACACAAACAGAGCAGATCAGTCAAATATGACTCAAGGTACTCACACAGTCACACATCCAATAATCTGAGAACTTATCCAGATCCATTTACTCATATAGTCAGGAATCCAAAGAACAACATAAATGGCCGGACAACAATTTCATAAGGGCATACATGTCATCAATCAGCCATTCACCAGGCAAATAAATATCACTATCTCTAATCAATCTATATAAAATACAATACGACATTAGTAAACCATAGAGAGGATAGAAATATGCATAAGAAATTATATAGAAATGGTAATTCATTGAAGAATTTTCTATAAAGCTATATAAATATAGTTTTCCATATTCATGTAACATAATTTTTGTAGTTTTTCATTGGAAAGATGAGAGCATATGCTAAGAAAAATACAAACAGACCTGACTGCCTCAATGGAAAATATTGCTATTTTCCAGCGACTTTCCAAACCTCATTTGTGACGACCCAAAGGGTCATCACCTGTTTTCTCTTTCATTCCGTGCTCCCGAGGCCTTGAAAACCTCATTTTTACTTGCCTCGATTTGCGTGCGCAGTCCGGGCGCGTAGCCGGAAAGCTTAAATATGAATTCTGTGTGAAAATTGATAAATTTTGATATTAATATGATTAAAGTTGACTTTGGTCAATATTTAGGGTAAATGGACCCGGACCCGTGATTGGAAGGTCCCGGAGGGTCCGTAGGAAAATATGGAACTCGGGCGTATGCTGGGAATCGAAATCCGAGGTCCCGAGCCCGAGAAATGAATTTTTAAAAGAAATTGTTTTTCTCTAATTTATATGGAAATTTGAAATGAAAATGGATTAGAAAGCATTGGTATCGGGCCCGTATTTTGGTTCCGGCGCCCGGTACAGGTCTTATATGTGGTTTAAGCGCTTCCTGTGAAATTTGGTTGAAATCGGACGTCATTTGACGTGTTTCGGACTATAGGTTCCAAATTTGAAAGTTTATGAAACTTAGAAGAAAACCATGTGATTTGAGGCTTGGTTCTATGTATATGATGTTATTTTGGCGATTTGATCGCACGGTTAAGCTCGTAGGTTGTTATTGAGTTAGTGTGTGTGTTTGGTTAGGAGCCCCGAGGGCTCGGGAGTGTTTTCGGAGGTGTTCGGGGTGGTTTTGGACTTAGGAGATGTAGCAGATTTTCTGCAATTTTTGCCCAGTTATTTGTTTCTTCGCGTTCGCGGCACTTAGCTCGCGTTCGCGTACCAGTGGGCTTTCTGTTCTTCGCGTTCGCGGACAAGTCCCCGCGTTCGTGTAGCCTTGGTTCCCCCTTCACCGCGTTCGCGAGCCCCCTCTCGCGTTCGCGTATAAGCAAATCCCGGACCCCCAGTTCATCCTTCTACGCGTTCGCGATGCCTTGACTGCTTTACCCTTCACGAACGCGGCCCCCTTCCCGCGAACGCGAAGGGCATTTTTGCCCAGTCATTTTAATACTTCAAAAACAGAATAGTTACGGGTTTTTACTCAAATTTCACACGAGCTCTCTTGTCTCCCAAGATTTAGGAAGCCATTGAAGTCCCTATTCTTCAAAACCACTTGGGTAAGTAATTTCCTACTTATTTCCTTCATTATCCTTCATTAATCAGTAAGTTTCTAAGCCTAAATCATATAATCTAGGGTTGAAATTGGGGGAAAAGGGTAGAATTAGGGCTTTTCGATTTTCTTTGATTTAGACCTCGTTTTGGGGTCGAAGGAAAACAATTTCCTCCAATTGGAGGAAAAATGAGTTCATAAGGAAAATGTTTTTCAAAACATTTAAGCCAACCAAACATGGAAAAATTGGAAAATATTTTCCTTCATACCAAACACACCCTTAGTCTCTTAAGTTGATTATAAAGTTGGAAAAGTCAACCGGAAGTTGACTTGTGAGCAAATGATCTCGGAACTTGGTTTTTATGATTCGGATAGTTTCGTGAGGTGATTTGGGACTTAGGAGAGTAATCGGAATGTATTTTGGAGGTCCGGGGTAGATTTAGGCTTGAATTGGCGAAATTGGAATTTAATGTTTTCCGGTTGATAGTTGAAATTTTGGTATAGGGGTCGGAATGGAAGTCCGGAAGTTGGAGTAGGTCCGTTGTGTCAATTGTGACGTGTGTGCAAAATTTCAGGTCATTCAGACGAGGTTTGATAGACTTTTTGATTGAAAGCGGATTTTGGAAGTTTTGGAATTCTTAGGCTTGAATTCGAGGTTGATTTGGTGTTTTAGTGTTGTTCGAGTGATTCGAAGGCTCGACTAAGTTTAAATGATGTTATGGGATGTGTTGGCATGTTTGGTTGAGGTCCCGAGGGCCTCGGGTGAGTTTCGAGTGGTTAAACGATCAAGTTCATGTTTGAAAAGTTGCAGATTTTTCCTTCGGTTCTGTTGCAGATATTTCTTCTTCGCGATCGCGTGAGGAGGCTCTCGATCGCGTATAGCACTTGTAGGGGCAATCCAGGTTGTTCTTCGCGTTCGCGTATTTGGGGTTGCGATCACGAGAGTTGTTCAGGTAAAGAATCGCGAACACGTGGGTTAGGTCGCATTCGCGTAAGGTTAAGTGGACCAGAGTTTGACCACACGTTTGTTCATCGTGAACGCGGTCCCTAGTTCGCGATTGAGTAGGACTAGAGCTGATGTGTATCGCGTTCGCGTGGGAAGCGATGCGTTCGCATAGAGTGAATTCAGAGTCAGCAAAGTTTGTGCTTCACGATCGCGATGGTCTTCCCGCAATCGCGATTAAGGAATTTAAATCGCTGGGCAGAATGTTTAAAAGGTCATTTTTGCAATTTTTGGCCATAGTTCACCATTTTGAGTCGGTTTTGGAGCTTTTTGAGGGAGATTGAAGGGGGAATTCAAGAGAACTTCTTTGACGTAAGATTATTGAGCCTAAAGCCCGATCCTATGTTGATTCTTACTTGTTTAAACATGAAATTTAGGGGAATAGAAGCCTAAAATTAGGGAGTTAAGGCTTGAAATTGGAGACTTTGATTTGAGAACTTGAGGGGTCGTTTGTGGTCGGATTTTGATGTATTTGATATGTACGAACTCGTGAGAGTGTAAGGATCCCAGGTTTATGATTTTTATAGGAATCCGAGACGTGGGCGCGGGGGTCATGTTTGGCCAATTTCGGGGTTTTTGATGTAAATTGGTTATTTTTGAGTGGGCTTTGTTCCCTTAGCATATTTTGATGGTATAAATCTATTTTTGGATAGATTTGGAGCATCCGAAGGCCGAGTCGAGAGGCAAAGGCATCGCGGGCTAGAGTTTGGACCAGATTGAGGTAAGTAATGATTGTAAATGTTGTCCCGAGGGTATGCAACCCCGGATTTCACATCGTTGTGATACTTTGAGGTGACGTACACGCTAGATGGCGAGCGTGGGGTCGTGCACCATTGGGGATTGTGACTTGGTCCGTCCCGTATGACTGTTAAGTCGCGTATTTGATTGAAATCGTTTGATATCATTGTGTTTTGGAAAATATTACTATGTTTTGGGCTGAATGCCATATTTGGGCCTCGTGCCAACTGTTTTAGACCTTTAGGGGCCTTTTACTACTATTCCTCACTGTTTTGACTTAATGTCTGTACTCAGTCATGTTGTACTTTACTGTTTTCATAACTCAGCTATATTTACTCCGTTTTGATATTTTAAATGAAATTTTGGTCTAAGCATCATGTTTTAATGTTGCCCGAGTAGCTTGAGAGATTTCTAACTGAGTGGGGCCGAGGGCCTGTGTTGTGCGGATATTATGGGATCGGGCTGCACGCCGCAGTAGGTTGTTATTGATTCATGATATTATGAGGCCGAGGGACTGATTTATTTATGCCACGAGGTGGCTTGTGATTATTATGAGGCCGAGGGCCTGTTTGATTACGCCACGAGATGGCTTGTTATAGCACTTGGGCTGTAGGAGCCCCTCCGGAGTCTGAACACCCCTAGTGAGCGCGGGTACCCAGTGTGAGTGGTGTGATGTAGCCTGAGGGGTTGTTATTGTTTCATATTGTTGCCCGAGGGGCTGTTCTTGATCCATGTGTTGCCCGAGGGGCTGGTTCTGTTGATATTATGCTCGAGGGGCGGTTCATGATACATGCTTTGCCCGAGGGGCTGTTTACTTTTTTATCCTTTTCTCACTGTTTTCATCACTCGTTTGAAACTATTTAAAGGTGTTTTCATCACTCGTTTGAAACTATTGAAAGTTGTTTTAAAAGGTTTTATTGAAACCGAGTTTGATTTATGAAGTAAATGATTTCTGTACTGTATTTGTTGTAGTGTTATGACGTGGTTTACGTGCTTTCTTATTGCTCAGTTTTCATTTACTTTTATTACTTACTGAGTTGGTGTACTCACATTACACCATGCACCTTGTATGCAGATCCAGAAGTCTCGAGGCGCGATGGTGAGTGTTGGTCAGTCATCCAGCAGGTCTCCGGAGTTGACTAGGTAGCTGCTTGGCATTCGCACCCCAGTGCTTCTCCTCCCTATCTTATTCAGCTTTGTAATAGCTTTTGGTTTTCAGACTACGTTGTCCTTTCTTATTCCTAGACGAGTTGTAGTTGCTCATGACTGGTGACACCCCGTTATGTTTCTGCACTGTTGATTTTAACTTATAAATTGGGATTTTAGCTAATTATTGGCTTTAAATGACTTATTATAAATGTTTGGTTGGTTTTGGGGGTTCATATCGGCTGCCCTAGTTTCACGGTAGGCACCATCACGACCGGGTCAGTTTTGGGTTGTGTCAAGTTGGTATCAGAACCTAGGTTACATAGGTCTCACGAGTCATGAGCAGGTTTAGTAGAGTCTGGCGGATCGGTACGGAGACGTCTGTACTTATCCTCGAGAGGCTGCAGAATCTTTAGGA